TAGGTCCAGCACCGGAACCATTCGAACACCTAACGCGCAATTCGGGAAAAGAAACAATATATGAGCTTACGGTGATTCGTCGCCATATTTCTCTTTGACACCAGGGAGCCTGCCACTCATCCCTGCGTCCTTCGTATGCAAATGTATGTACCATTTTTTGAGCCATTTATTTTGCCCGACGCGCATCTCTCTCTTGTAGTGCACACAAGCTTTTAAATAAATAAATAAATAATGTTTTCTTCTCGACAAGAAGAGGCACACCTTTACAGGCATGATCATGTTTAGCTAACATAGTGTGATCAAAAATGTACAAAAAGTACATTTTTGTATGTAAATGTATGGGTGTGTATACGTTTGTATTTTTGTAGGTATGTAGCTTGTCTTTGAATATGCCGCAGCATTTTTGACTGTTTGTTATCCTCAGGAATGTGAGGATAAGCGATCGATATCTGTGGGTTGGATAGCACTTTCCGGATATCCAGCGTGTATGGGTGTATATACGTATGTAATTGTGCACGAATGTGGTATTTGTCTTTGAATGTGCCACGGCATTTTTGACTGTCTTTTTTTCCTCAGGAATGTGAGCATAAGCGATTGATATCTGTGGGTTGGATAGCGCTTTCCGGATATCCACGGGCCAGTGACTTTAGTTTGTGGTTAGTCACAGCCGCCACGTCGCAGTGTTGTTAAACAGACCTTGGCAGCTTTTTATAGAGAGAACGCTTGCCAGGAGAAAAACCGCCACGTCCTGGAACACTGCTTCCGAACTATTTGCTGGAACGGGTTAAACCCGAACCACCCAGCTGGCACCACGAGGAGGTTGTTCGGCTAGCCAGCCAATAATGTTTCTTTGGACCTGTCAACCACTTGATCTTGCCTGTATGGCGTGCTTCGTTTCGTCACGAATATAATTAGTCATTTATTTTTATTTATTTATCCATGAACACAAAGCTGGTAGGAAGCTATATCCGTCAGAACAGCTGATCTCAAACTCGGCGGAATACGGACGCGATCATTCACTCACAGTAATCCATCAGGTGTAAACGCAGCTCCTCACTTCCGTTTGAGAGAAACAGCTCATCCTCATTTGACCCGTAGTACGTTATAGTCTCTTTGAGAACGGCTGAACGAGAGCATGGATCCGGCTGTGTGAGCAAACAACTTATCTCAGAAGCGGCTTTGAATGCCGTTGCAGTAAGCGAAAGTTAGTCTGCTTGTGCTTCGCACTTCTGTGCTCAACCACATCTGTACACCCTAAGAGCAACCCACTATCTCTAAATAATAGTTGCTGAAGCTTTAGCTGAAGAACTGGTAAGGTTGCAAAGGAAATTTTGCGCTTCATGATCTGTCACCATAATAACACCGAGACCAAACAAATATTTGTGAGTGCTGGTGACTGTTCAGTATGCAGCCGAAGATTCTCGATGGGTCTGTGCATACGTTTTTCAGCATTGCTGGATCGAAGAATGATACGTAGCATAGGGTGCCCAACCTGTTATAGCACAGCCCCTATGCCGGTAGGTGAGACATCTTTGAACGGCACGGTTGGTACTTTTGGAAAAATACGACGGAGAACACCACCAGGGGTAAGCATCTACCAAAGCTTTCGAAGAACACGTGCATGTAAGCCCAGCCAAATAAAACTTGTCATTAAATTATGTGAATAAAGGATTAACTGTTGATACAAAATTAGGAGGGAAGCTGGACTACTACTTCCATGCTCCCATTAGTTAACGAAGCTTATGAGGATTGGTGGACAAGTTCACATCAAGCAATAGTTTTACCCCATAAGGGGCTGGTCTTGAGCCTTCGGAGGTAATATGATAAGCAAGACAACTGAGCTCTTGGACATTAAGTAAGCATTTCAATATGCCAAAGGTCACATTAGCATCCTCGAAGTGAGTCAAACGTATAAGCAAACGAGAAGCATGAGTGCTTTTGTCGGCAGCATGCACATCCACCTGCCTGACGGATCCTAACCGACTCCAGACCTTACACGATGGATTTCAGCGCACCCAGAGATGTGGTTGGCAACCCCCTAAGCAAGAAATCTATACCGGTACAACAAAAGGTGTATTGCTGGTGGACAGTTTGCTAGCATACGCAGTGTGTGGTATCGGCAACCATGCATATATTAGGTCCAATTCAAGTGAAGCTGTTATCCATATAATAGAGGCTGAATAGAATCAGCTTCTGCAGTGGCACAACGAGGCTACAGTAGCTTCAGGTTAGGAGTAATGAGGTAAACGACATAAAGCCCGGGTCTTTGTTCATCCGGCTTAAACGGTCATAATAGGTTTGGCCCAGCATGCTTCACAGAGAGACGCAAAGACCTCGCGAACAGGTTCCTTAGTACAAAGGAAGCTATACGACGTTTACAACAAACTGGATCATCAGATACTTCCAACTTAACGGGTGGGAGTTTCATTCCACCAGATGTCACAGAGCACTCATGCGGCAAACCACGCATTTACTTGCCAGTGTCCAAGTGTGACAGAAAAGTGCAACTTATTTTACACACCTGTATAACTTTAATGCTGAGGATAGACGGGCCTTTAAGCACACCAACAAATTTACAATCCGCAGGGTTAGAATATTTTTCTGACACAGATAAAGTACAAGCTCTTGCCACAGGAAGTGTATGGCCAGTAAAACATTTAAAAGCAATGGGTGTAGAATCAGGCTTATGACAGGGTAGCGCTGACAGACACTAGTTTTAAAATGGAATGACTCCACTCAACCGGTGGCAACAATGAAAGGGTGTGACGTACCATTTCCAAAGCTTAGGGCACTGAAGAATTAACGACATATATTCACAGCCAGTGTAACAGACTGGAAATCCATTGGCGAGTTCTCAGGAGCATCCTTAGCTATTTTCATTATATCCTTTAGACGTTAGATGTAGGCAATTATACCAGGAATGCAGCTTCTACAACAGACACCTAGTCTACGCTTTTTGAGTTGATCACAATTTGCACAGTCTAAAAGTTGCCTTGCTTGTGGTTGAGTAACGCAGCGAGGAGTAAACAAATTGTATTGCCCCAGTTTTCTAGATTTGGCATAAACTTTCATGTTGGTTAATCCAAACCACACTTGCTGAGCAACAACAGTCCTCTGGGATTTTGTAGTGTCAGAACCATCCTGCTGGAACAAACAGATGGACGTCACTTGATGCTAAGTCGGTACTGGAAGTGATAAGAGCTGACAACACAAATCCGCGTTATTCACGTCAACAATTAGGTGGTTGCTCAGGTAAACAACAGAGTTATCCCCATCTGCACGACTTGAAGCCTGAGACGGGGTTGAGTCGTCAGTAAGTAGAATTTGACCCTTTCAACAACCAATAAGTATTCCAGTAACAAATGAGACAAGAGTAGGACTTTTGACTTTTCCTAAGACAGTTAATGTGCTGGCTGATGGTAAAGCAGCTACTTCAAAAGGGAATAAGGCTCACATGAGCACCTTTCACGTCTTCGCAAAGGTCACTTTTGGTAAGCTACTACGGCCCGGATTTTTCCATGTATGGTTGCAATAACTGGGAAGATGCATTTACGTTTAAAGATTCGATAGCTGCATTCATTTAGAAACAAACACTGACCACGGCGCCAAGTATATGAGTTTCAGAAAAGAGATGGCTTTAGGCGTCAACTTCAAAGAGTGATAATACAGCTTCCGGTACTGGTGTCGGGGACTGGCAGGGTCGACAAATATTTGATGTGCGTTGGGTCATAGAATCCGAGGGCTTCGGTGTCCAGGGCTTATGTAGGTAGTAATAGACGTGGGAAGGTGCAATGGAAAGCAAGTAACTCGTATGGGGCTGGATGCACATGGCACAGCCACATAGTAAAATACCACAGTAATCCGAATGTGATGGTAAAGAGTAGAGGGGGAAACAAGGCCCGTCTACCGAACTACAAAGCGCTCCCTACTTGTTGGCCAATGCAAGTTTATCCTCGAACCTGCTACAGCAAGAACACCCGAATTGGGATTAGACTTATCAGGTATTTATTCTAAGTCGATTGGAGAAAAAGGATAGCAATAATCAATCATAGAGTATTTTATGTACCATCAGCACATAAAGTTTACGACATACTGCCCATGAGTATGTTTTGTTAGTAAATTCAAACGTTAGTGAACACTCTCTGCTGCCATTAATTTTCACTTTTCAGCTCGCTGACACGATGCTTGGATTTGTGAGTAGGGCTGAAAACACGCTGTCTACCGCATGCAGCGCACTCCCTGGGCTCCTCACACCATGTTGGATGTCGTCACTGCATTTTAATTTCACGTAGAACTGTAAGCAATCTATAGATTCTTCGTCTCTAGGTACTTTCAAACAAAATCTGAAAAAGCTAGGTTGGGATCTATAAATCTCATTAAATCCAGAAAGGCTGAATAAGGTTAACCAATGTTTTGAACGGTACATGCATCGTAAATAATGAAATGTCCAATTTTCCAGCTTGTAAATCAAGGAGAGTAATTTGATCTATTGGGAAGGTTCCGCAAACGATTGCCCTGTATAGGACCTTTAAACTCCTCCTTTACCCGACAAACAATATAAAAGTTGACAATTCCACTAAGCAAGCACTGAGACAGCCCTTATGCGCAAATAGAAAACTCAAATATGCCAGCGGCCTTGTTCAAATAATTAACAATGCCATGCATACTAATACCAGAGATATTGTAATTGTACTGGAACTTGGTGTATTCTGATGCTGACACTTGAAAATGCAAGATTGCTCTTGTCATTGCTTCATTACTTTGCAGAAGCAAGAAGTCAATCCAACGTCAAAGTGCAGGTTGCCGCATCACTTCTCAGCACGATAAATAGGATGCACTTTAGGCAAAAGCCTCTAATCTCCGTTGTACCTGACCCAACTTCACCTGCTTCGCCGTTTGTTTAAAACGTTGGGTATTTGAATATCTAGGTCGTTTGTAGGCAAACGCACGAACCGTTTAGCTTTCTATTTTTCCGTGCTTCACGAGTTGTACCCACACTAATGTACTCGTTGGAGGTAACCGTAAAATCAGCAGTGAACCTCCAAAATGTTGAGATATCCGGGAAAAGTGATCCATATGTCATCGTGGAATTTCAAGGTACAGTGAAAGTGGTCTTTTTTGTAGTGTTCTCTGAGGTTCTTAGATGATGATGCATTTTGTGAAATCATAAGACATTATACTACCACAGTATGTTACTTTGTGGAGCTATTATTACTTAGTTTAATAAGATGTAATTTTTATGCTGTTATATTCCGAACTAGGAGATCATTTTAAGGTTGATCTCATTAAAAGTAGCTCCTAGTGTATAATTTGTATAGAGACATCTCCATACCACTCAGATTTTGATCGTCATCTCAAGCTTGGATCTCACTTACCTTAAGTCTACTGCATAATTCCATTGCTTTACTGACATGTGCTGCTTCCCCTTACCAGCGCTACAGTCCATCGAGTCAGTTGACAGTCCGCCCACTGTCTGCCGACGGTGCGCTCTGTCAGAAAAGGTCGCAGTTGAACACGATTCTGACTATCAATGGACTGAGGGAAATATTTTTGCAGCCCACAACTTATTCTACTCCTTCAGTTTACCAAAACGCAGTCCTATATTTACTATTATCCACCCAGTGCGTTGTCCAGTCTTAACACTCGGCCTAGTGATGCTCATCTAGTCCTTTCGACAACACCTGCAGTTGGAATTCTCTTTTGATTTCTTGCAAAGTAATGCGCCAGTTCTACTACTTCAACTGTATGCCCCGAGTGAACTCGGAACTCTTAATTTGATTCAGTTTCTTGTTAAGTTTATATTGTTACTACTTTTAACGTTTCTGTTTCCCTGTGATTTTCTCATAGTTTTCTACGTTAGGTAAACACACTTCACTTATATATGTGTTTAGAGTAAGCCAAATATCATAGGTTTGCATTAACCTTTCAATTAGAAGTAAACTTTATGCGATTTATGGATTTCTCTTTTATTTCTACTATTCTACACTAATTGCATATATTCACCTAAGTGTGTTCTAATGCAGTTAAACGAGCGCAACTAAGTCCGACAACTGGTGCCTCAGAGAAACAATGAAAAATGTGCTAATGACTGTAGTTATGATACTCGTTTATCCATTCCGCCTGTACACTTAGAAGTTAACTGTTAATTTCACTCTTGGTTGTCATGCTAGCACGCGGTGGATTTTAGAACACCCAGTCACCATCCTGTTTGCGCTTCCTCGTTCTGTCCATCCCCAGCCTCAAAGCATTTTCATAGGCATCTCTGCTAGACTTTTGTTTCACACCGTATGCATAGACAGAATCAAATTAGAAACTGCTCTACATATCTAAATTTTAGTCCCACTGCTTACATGTGTGCTTTATGCACTTGGTAGCCATGTCGTTTTATCGTCGGACACCAGTCTTTACATACTGGTTCTATCATTTGTCACTGATAATTTCGTAACAGCGTTCCTATCAGATTTCTTAAAAAGCTTTTTATATTTAGCCGTCTTGTGGCCAGACTTAAAACGATTAGCTCGTACTGTCGGTAGTGCTTTTGACCAATCTGTGGCATATGTTGTGATATAGCAAATCTACATTTACCACAGCAGTTCTGCGGTTTTCTTTACGCTATGGTATATTTGTACCAGATGGTTTGTTTGTTAACTTGAAGTGGTAAGCAGCAAGACCCGGCCACCAGAATAACATTGTCATGATTATTCACCCAGTAACTTCCGGGAGAATTAGAATTAATAGTAGGTTGAAACTTGCTACTGTTGTCAAACTATTGTACTCAGGGTTAACAATATTACGTGGCCAATAAAAAGTCTTTTTAGTTACGCGCTTTATTGTGGTCCATTAAAGGAATATATCTTGATAACAAACGATTTGAAAGGGTTTGGCGACTGCGTGTTTAAGTGGAAGCTTTAAATAAAAATGTTCGGTGAACTTGGATGGATCGTCTCAGTCGATGCAACCATTATATTAAGTTGCACAGTTATTTTTTGCACGGGTGATGTTAGTGCAGTAAAAACTTGCTGTTTTTAATCGGCAGTTGGCTGTTTAGTCTAAAAGCCGATTGCCGACTGGCAATGAAATCGCATCAACTGTGCCTTATAGCCTTGATGCTATCTATCAAATCGTGTACTATGCAACTTGTACATCCGAGTATTTGACGTTTTTATTTATCATGAAAGATTTAAGCGCATACACGTTTTCAGCTGGGCACAACACTTGTTGTCCACTCCCGCGCGAACGGCGCTTTTTTACCTGGTATGGTATCGTCTTAGAAAATTGGCATTTTAAAGGAGTGAATTTAAGAGCACGCAGTGTATACCAGCATTTTACGTTTAGATCTATCATTGCTTACTTTAACAACAACTTCCATAATGTTACTTGTCTTAAGTAAGGTTGTATGTATGTGCCGGTTACTTTTATATCTGACATTCTGCATTCTAGTACCAGCTAACATCGACATTCAGCTCGTGTTAAAATTTTGGATTGGCTAAAAAAATTTTCTTTTGCTTGGTGTATGCGAACTTTTCACCCGATCCGGAAAACAGACAACGGTTAAAAAGTTAAGATCTTTGGCGGTGAAGAACAATTTCTGGATATAAGCTATGTCTAACTAGCTTATAGCAGATCATCACAGTAGTAACTGCTAGTGAACAACAAACTTTATTGTTGTATTAGACGTCGCGGTGTTTATGGTTTTGACTGCCAAACCTCGTAACAAGGAACAGTCCACCTGTCTTCATAAGTTTCAATTTTATTGGCTTACCATGCACTTTTTTAACTTACACACTGCGTATGCTCTGCCCCATTTTAAACAAACAACTTAAACGATTTGCCTATTTTGAGCCTGGATAAGCCGTCGCAGCATTTTTATTGTTAACTCGCTAGGAGTCTAACAATGTGGTTCACTAATGACTGCTTTTTGTGTACGAAGTAAAATATGTGAAGCTCTTAGAGGCATATTTATTTTTCCGTTGGTTGACTAATTATGCTTCATTTGTTACAAACTACTCTGCGTAAACAACTTACTAACCGTTGCTTTTTCTCAAACAGTAAATGAAAACAATGTTGTTGTAACAACCTAGTTACATGTTAGCGCATCTGATCAACTATTCTGCACTAAACAACTTTAATTTAGGCGCCATGCTAAACTTTTATTATTCAGGTGTGATATAGGTAGTTGCTGTAGCTTACGTTACTCTGATAACAAAAGGTAACCATCGAAAAAATTGAAGTGCAGTAAGCCAAAGACACTAAATAAGTTTAGCAAATTCACTTTGTCCGCTGCACAATTCGTTATTAGTGGCATTTAATAACCAGAACACAGGAAGCGTAACAATTTGGTGGCCCAATGCGTATACTGAGGCCTTAAACGCTCCGCGTCAATCGGTCAAAATGCGTCTATGTAGGGAGCTTTGTTCAACTTTAACAGTACCGCTTTATCTGTGTATCACTGTGTTGTCAGCTGACAACTTTCATTCCAACAGGTGTACGTAGACTATACTATGCATGATTATTTTGATCACAGCTCAACATGATGTTCGGCATTATATGACGTTTCAGTTCTTGAATTATAAAATAGTTGACCATTTATCTTTTGTATTGTAGCACATTAGCTGTGCTGTGTTTCTCACCCCCAGCCACGGTGTATTGATGATGAGGTAGCCAGAAAGAAACTTTAAAACAATTAGTTCTCTTCAGCACTTTGTACACCAAAATGTGAAGACCAAAATTGTCAGATGCTGGCATTTGATACTATCTCGCCAGTAGCAATACAATAACTGGAAAGTGTCATTGGACACAATCAAGCTGCTCCTGTTCATGGTAGGGGTCACTGTTGTTAGCATCGGGACCACGGCAACCGTAGGTCGACAGTAGTTGTTTTTGGACACAAAGCTGATCTAATTCGGCTTATCGCGACCGCCTCGGCAAATCGCAAAGCCTGAATGAAACGCTGAACTATGTGAGCAGCGTTGCTGAAACCAAACGGCATTCAGTGGTACTCGAATAGGCCGGAAAGTGTAATGACCGCTGTTTTAGTAATGTCTTCTGGCGCCACCGTTATCTGTTGATAGGCGCAAACTAGGTCGACTTTGCTAAAGAGTAATCTACCAGCTAGAGCTGAGATTCAGTCGTGCGTGTGAGGAATGGGTATTTATACAGGATAGTAAGTTCGTTGAGTGCCCTGTAGTCACCACTTGAGCGCCAGTCACCGGCTTCCTTGGGTACCATCTGTAATGGTGATGCGCATGGACTTTTGGACGGGCGAATTATTCCCAGTTCGAGCATTTGTTCGAATTCCATCTTAACCGCATTTAACCTGTCCGGGATTCGTCTATGCTAGCGGGCCGAAACAGGTGGACCCTTAGTGCAGACGTGATGCATGCCGTTTGATGTCTCTGGAGGCAAGCCGTTCGGAAAGCGAACGCGTTTAGGGTGCTTATTGAAATGGTCTATATAAGGATGTGAAGCTTGAAGCAGCACACGAATGGCAGCGATAAAAGCCACGTAAGCGCTAGTCCTGATAATACTGTGCTGTGTCCGAGAGTCGATTAGCTTCCACCATGAAGCCTCAACCATAAGGTCGAAGTGTTGGAACATCATTTTGTTTATGATAGCGAAAGGCACAGCTGCTACTATGAAAGGCCAGTGAAAGGATCGCTGAAAGCCTAAGTTGAGCGTTAGCGGCTTTTCATGGGAAGTTGCGATGGGTGTGCCATTGGCGGAACGCAACGTCGTCGGCGAGGGTGAGACAAACTCAGCTGAACTAAGGTGTATAAAGCTAACTTCGCCTACGGTGTGGACTAGGAACTCGGTTCAGGAAGTTAAATCCCTAACGCGGATGAGGCGACTTTGGTGTTGGCAAGTCGCTTCCTTCGCGGTTACGGGCCGGCCGAGAAGTTTCTCTACTTCAAAGATGCAAGCTTTTACATACTTATGAGCTGTGGTACCAAAGCGTTGGTGGTACCAACAGCAAGCCTGCCTGTTTCTGGATTTTGAGCGTTTTTAGAACGATTTTGATCAATTGTAACGACGACGGCTCATAGTGATCTGTTGGACTTGGCGACTAAGTGTCGCAACTTGTGCTTGCAAGGCATCTA